TACTACTCTCTCTTTTGATTTCCAGAATGTTTTTCTTTTTATTTTCTAAAGTCTTAATATTTTCAGGATTTTTCTCTCTCTTAAATATTCAGCTCCTTTTTTTTCTCTCTCCTCTTCTTTCTCTCCTCTTTTTTTTCTGTCTCTCCTAAAATCTGATCAAGTCTCTCCATTTTATCTCACATACCAAACCCTTTAATCAATTAATAAAACAACCAATTTCTCCTACCAAACCCACTACTACATAAAAATACAATTATTATTTATTTAAACAATTTTTCTTGAACCCCGCAATCCCACTATGTCTTATTCCCCACTTTTATTAAACAAATGCATTATTCCCCACCATTATGTCTTGTCCCCCATGCTTATATTAAACAATTGCATTATTCCCCACCATTATATCGTGTCCCCCCATTATTGATTATTTTAATATTATCTTAATCTTAATGGACAAAGCACTCAAAAATAAATATTTGTTCAGAATTTTAATTCAAAAAATACCCCTCTGACCTTACTGAAATTATCATTTTGACCCTGAAAATATTGTAATTTACCAATCTACCCCGTCAGCTATAACAAGTTCAACTAATCAATTCTAACCAAAATATAACAGCTATAACCAATTCCTAATCAGATTTTATGAACAACTCAAACTAAATGATGAACAACAAAGAAACCACTGGAATTATTTTGATTGAACAATATTTTTTAACAACAAACCTATTTTCAGATTCAACACAATAACAAACAAATATATTCAAATCATTGAGCTCAAATTCAACTTAAACTTAAACAAAATAAATGAACAGATTCAAATTACTAAACTCAAATAATCAATTGATCTTCAAATTAAATCCAACAATGTTACAACAAAGATGTATGATTCAAACTAAATAAAAAATTTACAAACCAAAACATAAACTCACATTAAATCACTAAATTAAAACGAACTTCAAACAAACAATAAACACGAATTAAATCTAAATTAAACAACAAAAATGGACGATTTAAGTGATTAAACTAACATATTTCTATATTACAACTAAATTCTTTTAAACAAATAAAAATAAACCGAAGAAGAAATAATTGATTGAATTTCAACTTGAATCTAACCACATTAAAATTAAACTAACAATTTCTTTTTGAATCTAACAACATTAAAATTAAACTAGCAATTTTCTTTTTGAATCTAACAACATTAAAATTAAACTAACAATTTCTTTTACAAAAATAAAAAAAACACATGAAACAAACTGAAAAACAATTAATTCAATCAACAAAATACGTGAACAAACACATGAATTAATTCAACAAAACATATGAACAAACTAGAAAGTTAATTCAACGATATACATGAACAAAACAAGAATCGAACATTTATCGATTTTAAATCCGAAAATATCAAAACAAAATACGTAAAACATGAAACTCAAACCTACTAACCAGATCAAAGCGACGATGAACTTGAATGAAAACAAATCTGTCCAAAAACAATTATCGCACCAAAATCACTCGAATCTACC